TCTTTTTTTTTCTTTTTGAGATGGAGTCTCGCTCTTCACCCAGGCTGGAGTGCAGTGGCACAATCTTGCTCACTGCAACCTCCGCCTCCGCCTCCTGGTTCAAGCAGTTCTCCTGCCTCAAGCCTCCTGAGTAGCTCAGACTACAGGGGTGTGCCACCACGCCCAGCTAATTTTTGTATTTTAGTAGAGATGGGGTTTCGCCACTTTGGCCAGGCTGATCTTGAACTCCTGACCTCAGATGCTCCACCCGCCTCGGCCTCCCAAAGTGCTGGGATTACAGGCATGAGCCACTGCCAGGTCTTGGAACTCCTGACCTCAGATGCTCCACCCGCCTCGGCCTCCCAAAGTGCTGGGATTACAGGCATGAGCCACTGCTCCTGGCCCTGTTTAGCTGGTTTTTTTTTTTTTTTTTTTTTTTTTTTTTTTTTGAGACGGAGTCTTGCTCTGTTGCCCAGGCTGGAGTGCAGTGGCACAATCTCGGCTCACTGCAACCTCCGCCTCCTGGGTTTAAGCTATTCTCCTCCCTTAGCCTTCTGAGTAGCTGGGATTACAGGCGTGCACCACCACGGTCGGCTAATTTTGTATTTTTAGTAGAGATGCGGTTTCACCATGTTACCCAGGCTGGTCTTGAACTTCTGAGCTCATAATCCACCCGCCTCGGCCTCCCAAAGTACTGGGATTACAGGCGTGAGCCACCGTGCCTGGCCAGCTATTTCTTAATGGCATTGGATTGTCTTATTTTCTAAATGAAATTGGATTATTTTGCCAGGCATGGTGGCTCACGCCTGTAATCCCAGCACTTTAGGAGGCTGAGGTGGGTCAAGAGATTGAGACCATCCTGGCCGACATGGTGAAACCCTGTCTCTACTAAAAATTCAAAAATTAGCCGGGTAGGGTGGTGTGCACCTGTAGTCCCAACTACTGGGGAGGCTGAGGCAGAAGAATTGCTTGAACCCGGGAGGCAGAGGTCGCAGTGAGCTGAGATCATGCCACTGCACTCCAGCCTGGCGACAGAGCAAGATTCCGTCTCAAAAAAAAAAAAAAAAAAAAAATTGGATTATCTTATGATTTTATGACCATTTTCTTCTCCCTGCCTTCTCTCTTACATCTAAAGAAATGTTAAGGACAGTTTCTCTTTAGAGAAGTCTTTCCTTCTCTAAACTAGCATACTGACAAGACATAGTTCAGCCACAAGTTACGGTAGGAGATGCACTTGGGTCATACAGCCTCCCAATGCACAGATGGTGACTTTTCAGTACCATCTGTTCACTGTTTCTGCACAGCCATTTACAATTTCTCCCCCTCTATGAGGGCTGAATAGAAAAAAATAGAAAAGTAGTCAGACCTAGTTTTAGAGTTCCTGGAAATTAGCTATTCTTTCCCCTCACTTTTTCCTACCATCCAATAAAGGTTATGGCTCTTCATTCTAAATATTTCAGTCATTAGTTTACACAGACCCTTATTTGATATTTATTGGTGCTAAGTACTACGTAATTCACAAATAACAGAAGAACACATTATGTTAGTCTACTGTGTATGCTTGAAAAAATAATCACATAAAGCAATCTGTTCTTTCCCTTCCTTTAACTTTGTACAAGATACCTAAATAATCTATTCCTTGTAATTAAAAGCTGAATTGGCTGGGCGTGGTGGCTCATGCCTGTAATCCCAGTACTTTGGGAGGGCAAGGCGATTGGTTCACCTGAGGTCAGGAGTTCGAGACCAGCCTGGCCAAAGTGGCGAAACCCCGTCTCTACTAAAAATACAAAAATTAGCTGGGCATAGTGGCGCCTACCTGTAATTCTAGCTAGACAGAATTGCTCTAACCCAGGAGGTGGAAGTTTCAGTGAGCCAGGATCACGCCACTGCACTCCAGCCTGGGTCACAGAGTGAGACTTCGTCTAAAAAAAAAAAAAAGCTGAATCATTGGCCACTTCTCTTGTTGAAGGCACCTGGTATTTTTCTGATATTAAACAGATGGAAGCATAATAGTTGACTTTTCGCCCTTAACATGTATAGTGAAGAATGCTAAAAGCTGGCAGAAACATTAGTTCCTGACCTTGGCAAATCCTTTCTAAATTTTTCTTTGTGAGCTTTTTGTCCTCTTCATCTCCAGGCAAGACCTTTGCTTGCTGGAGGGGAGAAAGATTCACTGTAGACTGTCTAATTGTCACAACATGATGCACAGATAGCATTCCACTTGTACTACATCACAGGAGAGTTTTGACTTGTGACTAAATAGAAGACTCAAGAAGAGAAATGACTGAATGGTGTACTTACTTTTGCCCTATGGATTTATTTGTAAAAGATCAGGATCTGTTAAAATGTATAAGGTAGGGCCGTATGCGGTGGCACATGCCTGTAATCCCAACACTTTGGGAGGCTGAGGCAGGTGGATCACCTGAGGTCAAGAGTTTGGGACCAGCCTGGACAACATGGTGAAACCCTGTCTCTACTAAAAATACAAAAAAATTAGCCGGGCATGGTGGCATGCACCTCTAATCCCAGCTACTGTAATCTCAGCTACTCGGGAGGCTGAGGCAGGAGAATCACTTGAACCTGGGGGGCACGGAGGTTGCATTGAGCCGAGATTGCTCCACTTCACTCCAGCCTGGGCGAAAGAGCGAAACTCCGTCTCAAAAATAAATAATAATGATAAGGTAAAGAGTTTGCTTAAATACTGTCTTAGAATTATTTGCCCATGTTTGTTCTTTTTTTGGTGGATAGTCTGATGTTGACATTATAGAACTGCGAGGCTTCCCATGTTTCTCTAGTCAGAATGTTTTCCTTTCCCTTAGTCCTCACATGTTATTAAGACTACTTGTGTCATAATCCTGTACGATTATTGATGTGAATGATGTTTTCTTCTAAGCTTCAGAGTAACTTTGCTTCTTAATATTCTTTGTATACTATTCATATTTTAATATTGTTATCTTCCTACTTACCAGTTTTCTAATCTTTGCCATCCTTTTTATTTACATTTCCAAAGCAAGAGCTATCATTTTTGTTGGTTATTGGAGTCAGTATAGGTTATAAGTACTTTTTGGAACTCTTCTAGGTAAGGTTCAGTGAAACCTTGGAAAATATCTGATAAAAATTATATGAAAGCTATGGCAGGTGCCGGGGGTATTATATATCCTTCTATGATTTCCACTTTGTTGGTTTTTTTCTCGGGGGGAGGGGGCGGCGGGGGGACATGGTGTCACTCTGTTGCTTAGGCTGGAGTGTAGTGGTGCAATCCTAACTCACTGCAGCCTGGAGCTCCTGGGCTCGAGGGACCTTCCTACTTTAGACTCTCCTGTAGCTAGGACGACAGCATGCATCACCATGCTAATTTTCCAATTTTTTGTAGAGATGGGGGTCTCACAGAAAGACTCCAGGCTGGTCTCAAACTTCTGGCCTCAAATGATCCTCCTGCCTCAGCCTCCCAAAGCACTGACATTACAGATGTGAGCTACTGTGCCCAGCCCTGAACCCCACACTGACTCATACTGTTATCCTTGAGTTAGACTTGATTGCTAAAATTTAAGAAATGAGGTAGTTTCTGTGCTCGTTTTATAAGCTGTATATGCTTTTATCTAAGGGTCTAGTTTCAGTTAGGTTTTGGAGCCTCTACAGTTTACAGTGACCAGTTGTTTGGTTATGCTGTTTATATTGGGGTAATTTCATTCTTTAAAGTAGAATGATCACGGATTGATCTTAGAAAAGGGGTAGTATCCATTTCTCCAGAATTCATACTCAGCTGATTTGGTTTTGTTTAGTCTTTAGCATATAATTATTTTTTGAGTTTCTTGTTTTATTTTATTTTTGAGACAAGGTCTCGCTTTGTCACCTAGGCTGGAGTGCAGTGGTGTGATCTTGGCTCACTGCAACCTCTGCCTCCTGGGTTCAAGCAGTTCTCGTGCCTCAGCCTCCCAAGTAGCTGGGATTACAGGTGTGCACCACCATGCCTGCCTCATTTTTGTATTTTTAGCAGAGACGGGGTTTCGCCATGTTGGCCAGGCTGGTCTTGAACTCCTGGCCTCAGGTGATCCACCCGTTTCGGTGTCCCCAAGTGCTGGGATTACAGGTGGGAGCCACTGCACCCAGCCCTATATAATTGAATGTTAAAATTTGATGAATTAAGTATAATAGTCATATAATTCTTACTCTTTTCTTTTACAATTGCTTTTAATAGCATACTACCTTTCTTTACCTCTTCTATCCAGGCTTTCAAGTGTAGCACTCAAAGCAAATGGATAGTTTTTTTCTTTAAAGAGAGATCATATACTTGGGGAGAAGTTTCAAGGTACAATTTGTAATGATTTAACTAACATTCAACATGTGTGCTTTTTTTTTTTTTTTGCTTTGAGGGTTCGTTTTTGTCTTTAAGCATAGCATAATGTCCTGTTTTATTATGATTTCATCTGAGAAATTCTGCTCAGATGAAATTTCTTACCTTTCCTCTGTGGAGTAGGCCTCCCAAGAGCAATATGCCTGGATTTCAGCCTTTGCTCACCCCTGGCCAAGCATTCTTGTGCAGCAAACAACATGAAGCACACTGCATGGTACACATTCAGATTCCGAACTTTGTACTAATTTGGGATTGTTTTGAAAAGTCTATTAGAGCAAAAGTAACATATATTTAAGAAAAATTATGTATATCAAAATTCTAAAACTAAAAATATAGCAGAAGAGATAAAGTAGTGTTTCTGTTGCAGAATAGTATGAAAACCTGATGAAAATAGAATTTTTACTGTAAGTATAGTATTTAAAATTACTGGCTAGTTTATATTTTTATATAATACCTTACATTAAACTTTACTGAATTAATAATATCTAGATATATATATATTCTTTATTTTTGGATTGAGAAACAGTAGCTTATTTGCCATAACATTTAGAGCATTCTGATCCTGTAATTAATGTGTTAGTATGTCATACAAATAATTGTCTAATGCCTTGTCTTAACAGTTCTGTACATCTTGTAATTAAGCTTTCGTTTTTTCCTACTTCCTCAGGTACTTTGGTCTAGGAAGCCATATGGTTCGTCTCGAAGTATCGTAAGGAAAATTGGTACTAATTTGTCTCTGATTCAGTGTCCAAGAGTTCAGTTTCAGGTACTATATTTTATGTATTTTAAGTATTTTATTAATATGTACATTAGAAATATAAATAGGCAAGATGGTTTTAAAAGTATTTTGTTTTTGAGACTTTTTACCAATTGATGCCACTATCAGTACAATAAAAGAGGATTAAAAACCACCATTAAGCCTTTCTAATTTTAGTTTCTCTGTGAAGTGATTGAGATCTTTAAGACATTTATCCTTCTTAAGGATGCATATGTGAAGATATAGGGTCATATAATAAGCTAAGCAGTTGTTAATTCCTAGGTGACTTCAAACATAGGCTTTATATTATTTCAGGTGCTTTATGTACCACCATTATTTTTCTTCTGTAATTATACCTTCCTCTTTGGATAGCCACTCAGTTCCCCTGATTTATTTTTAGATTTCTGTGTATGCAATATAAGTTGCTTTCCCTGTCATTGGTTTCAAGCTCAGCATTAATTATGGGATCCATTGCCTCAGCAATGACAGTGTCAAGACAAAAAGGTAATTCTGGTTCTCTCAGTGAGGTGATAGTCAAACCATGAGTTAGAACTTTTGAAAGTCTTAGTCTTAGAACTTTTGAAGGTCTTAGTACAGTATTCTCTTTTAGCACCAAATCTGGAGCAACTCTGTTCTTTGCTTGGAGATATTGCTATTTTCCTTGATTTGTACTTTTGTTCCTTTCTTTTTTTTTTTTTTTTTTTTTTGAGATGGAATCTCGCCTGTTGCCAGGCTGGAGTGCAGTGGCAAGATCTCAGCTCACTGCAATCTCTGCCTCCTAGGTTCAAGCACTTCTCCTGCCTTAGCCTTCCGAGTAGCTGGGACTACAGGTGCACACCACCACACACAACTGATTTTTGTGTTTTTAGTAGAGACGGGGTTTCACCACGTTGGCCAGGATGGTCTTTATCTCTTGACCTTGTGATCTCCCCATCTTGGCCTTCCAAAGTGCTAGGATTACAGGCATGAACCACCATGCCTGGCCTTGTTTCTTATTGTTATTATAGTATTCGACATTTATCACATAACTTTGTTCTTTTTTTTTTTTAGTAATTCTTTACAACCGTAACGTAACAACATTTCAGTTCAACATTGAATAATATAAAATTCAATAGATATCTCTGCCACTTTTAAATAATAGATTAACATGTGGAGATGTGGAAGATGTATTTAACTCATTCAGAAGTTCAGAAGTGCCCACATGTACCCGTTTGATAACATGTCATGTTCTTAAATCACTCCTCCTGATAAATAGAGGTGAAATTTGTTTCTTTTTCTTTTCTTTTTTTTTTTTTTTTTGAGAGAGAGTCTTGCCCTGTTGCCCAGGCTGGAGTGCAGTGGCGTGATCTCGGTTCACTGCAACCTCCGCCTCCCAGGTTCAAGCGATTCTCCTGCCTCAGTCTCCTGGAAAATCGATTTCTAAATAAGTGGTAGAAATGAGCATTTATTCAGGTTGACCTATATGGTAGAAATTAGCATTTATTCAGGTTGACTGACAAGATTGTTCATTGCTGTGTTTTATAATCCTGCTCACAGATTGACTGGCTAAACCTTTGTGCATCAATCTAGAAATGGATAGACTGGAGCTGGGCACATGGCTCACTCCTGTAATCCCAGCACTTTGGGAGGCTGAGGCAGTTAGGAATTCAAGACCAGCCTGACCAACATGGTGAAACCCCGTCTTTACTACAAGTACAAAAATTAGCCAGGTGTTGTGGCACACACTTGAAATCCCAGCTACTCAGGAGGCTGAGGCAGGAGAATCACTTGAACCTGGGAGGCGGAGGTTGCAGTGAGCCGAGATCATGCCAGTCCATCCCAGCCTGGGTGACAGAGTGAGACTCCATCTCAAAAAGAAAAAAGAAAGAAATTGACAGATTGGAACTTTCCAAGAAGTAATTTTTTATTTCAGTCTAGGCTTTAAAAAAAAAAAAAACTCATGAAGTCAAACATGCAGAGCCTTATTTATTTATTTATTTATTTAATTGAGAGGGAGTCTCGCTTTTGTCGTCCAGGCTGGAGTACAGTGATGTGATCTTGGCTCACTGCAACCTCTGCCTCCCGGGTTTAAGCCATTCTCCTGCCTCAGCCTCCTGAGTAGCTGTGATTACAGGTGCCTGCCACCACGCCCAGCTAATTTTTGTACTTTTAGGGGAGATGGCGTTCACCATGTTGGCCAGGCTGGTCTCAAACTCCTGACCTCAGGTGATCTGCCCATCTCTGCCTCCCTAAGTGCTGAGATTACAGGTGTGAGCCACCACGCCCGGCTGCCTTTTTCCTTTTTAATAATCAAAATGAAGAAATCTGTGGTAGTAAGTCTCTCAAGTACTTTCCAAGAATTCAGTTCATTTAGACATGAACTGCTGCTTATTTGCCAGTTTCCTTCAAATAGCTATTATGTTAACTAAGGTTTATAAACTTTTTTCTGATTGTTCAATTCCATTAGTTTCTTTCTAGTTAACTATCTTACTTCCCTCCTAGTTCCAGGAAAACTTACTTCAGCGTTTGCGTTCGTATAGCTAGCGACATGGAGATATCTAACGTTTTCTGATTGCAACCCCCAAGTCTGCCTTGACAGTCAATGGGCTGAAGTACTAGAGTCAAGTACATGTACTTGGGAGAATTCTCTTTCTGGATGTTATCAGTCTATTAAAAGGATATGAGCAGAAAAAGAGGATTCTATTTAACTCATTTGAACTGCATTTGAAAAGAAATGGATTAACATAAGGAGAAGAGTAAGGTAAAAGAAACATTGATGACCTACTTGAGAATGTAGTAGAGACAGAAGCCATTTGTTTAAGCCATTTGTTTATAGTGAGATTTTTATTTCCAGGTATACTGAATCTTTTTTTTTTTTTTTTTTTGAGACAGAGTTTTGCTCTTGTTGCCCGGGCTGGAGGGCAGTGGCGTGATCTCGGCTCACTGCAACCTCCGCCTCCCGGGTTCAAGCAGTTCTCCTGCCTCAGCCTCCCAAATAGCCGGGATTACAGGCATGCGCCACCATGCCCAGCTAATTTTGTATTTTTAGTAGAGATGGGGTTTCTCCATGTTAGCCAGGTTGGTCTTGAACTCCTGACCACAGGTGATCGTCTGTCTCGGCCTCCCAAAATGCTGGGATTACAGGCGTGAGGCACCGTGCCCGGCCCATACTATCTTTTTAAATTCAACATCGGTGTTCTGTCTGGTGGCCGGGCACAGTGGCTCACACTTACAGTCCCAGCACTTTGGGAGGCCGAGGTGGGTGGATCACCTGAGGTCGGGAGTTTGAGACCAGCCTGGCCAACGTGGAGAAACCCTGTATCTACTGGAAATACAAAATTAGCTGGGCGTGGTGGCGCATTCCTGTAATCCCAGCTACTCGGGAGGCTGGGGCAGGAGAATCACTTGAACCTGAGAGGTGGAAGTTGCTGTGAGCTGAGATCGCACCAATGCGCTCCAGCCTGGGCAATAAGAGTGAAACTCTGTCTCAAAAAAAGAAAAATAAAAAGTATTTTGTCTGCTATTTAGTTAAATGTTTTACATATGCTATCATCCTTCTGTATCTCCATTGCTTCTTTGTTTATCAGAAATATAAAAGATATAGTCTTCAAAATGTATAGAAGATGCAGTTTTGAGTAATAATATTGAAAATGCATTTTTCCCCCTATTTTTATAGCTCAATTTAGGGACTAGTTGATGTGGAATATATCCAGGCTATCTGGGAGTCCAGTGTGGGTAAATATTATTATTGAAAGTCTGAGACTGGGAGTCTACTGTGGGGCACAGGGCAAGTGGACATCATTATACTGAGACCATATCCAAGTTGAAGTGGATTAAACTGAGAACAGGACAGTCATGGGGTCAATTCAGAAAGTGAAGTTGGGTAGTCAAAACCAGTCTTCCCATTGTCTTCGGTGATTTCACTGTCTTTTGGAGAACCCATCTGAAATGCAGCCTCCTTTTTCTTTGCTTCCTCTACTTCTGTTGACTTTCACTTTCATTCCTTTCCTAGTATTTGCATCACTGGCAACAGCTCAACCCTGTCAGCCTTGAAACTGTTTCACCTTTGAAATTTTAGACCTCAGTATATTCCTTCTAGATCACAGCATCTCCTCCCTGTACTAGCTAATCCATGTATCTTTGGTCAAGTAAGACTCTTATGTAAATGATAGGCAGTACAGGCACATTCCTTTGTGTTTTGAGCATTAGATGAGATTATCCATGTGAAGTCCTGGGCATAATGACTCATACATAGTGAGTGCAGAGTAAAAGTACTACTGCTAGTAGTGGTTTTGTTATTATCGTTATTGCCCTTTTATAGTTACAGAGCAAATTATCTTACTTGGTTTTCTAATTTAACTCCTTTGGGAGGGGGGCAAGGGATAAAAGACAGCATATATGGTGCAGGTTATACTGCTTGCGTGATGGGTGCACCTGAATCTCACAAATCACCACTGAAGAACTTACATAACCAAATGCCACCTGTACCCCAATAACTTATAGAAAAGCAAAATAATAATAAATAATTTAACTCCTTTGTTTTACAGATTGGATTTCTGTATATTTTATAGGGTCACAAATCAGAACACATACCAACACATTTAGTCACACCTTCATCCAATTAATGGGCACAGTGACTGTTGTGCTGGCAATAAAATGAGGTGACATATGTAAAAAGCCCTATAAAAGACACCCAATACATGTTTCTTTGCTGTGTTATTGAAGAACAGCCTATAACCTCATAGGTTTTATTACTTCTCCTGTACTTCAGTTAGCTCTAGGAATTAATTGGCTAATTTATACTCAAAACAGGATCTCTAGACCCTTCACATTTACTTTGGTTGAAGAAAGCTAACTTCCCCTGGCCCTTTTCTACCTTTCACATATGTGCATTTCAGCACACCTACACACTTGTGGCCATAAGCGTTTTGTGTTTTTGGATATCATTTTCCTTGTGGAGGTAGGAACTAGATTAAGACATACTAGGAGAACAGACCCTTCTTTGTCTCCTAGTTCTATTCTAGATTCAT